CGTCGCTGGGGCGCCCCCCAGCCACGCTTCGAGGGCGCGCCCCAACCGCGCCTTGGGGGCGAGGGCCATGACGCGGAACACCGCCAGTCCAACAATCTCGTGTGGTGAAACGGCCCAGCTGCATCTGGGGCCCCGGCCGGATTGCACCGGTACGATCGCGGGGGTTTCAGAAAACTGCGCGCGCCTGGTCGCGGGTCGCAGACCGCGCGAGCCAGGCACGCCATGGGAGCGAGAGAGAGAGAGAGAGACAAACAGACAAACAAGCAAACAGACAGACAGACGGACAGACAGACAGACAGACAGGCAGACCGACACACACACACACACACACACACACTTTTTGGCGTCGCGGCCTTGCGCGCGGCGACAGGGCGGAGAAAGTTGTAAAGCAGCGCACGGGCGCCTGCGAGACTAGGAACGCCCGAGTCCTCAGAGTCCGCTTCGGGTCCCGCAGCGGCCGGCAGCAAGAAGCCATCCTCCACATACACACACACACACACACACACACACACACACACACACACGCACACACACACACGCACACACAGACACACACACACACACACACACACACACACACACACACACACACACACACACACACACTTTTTGGCGTCGCGGCCATGCGCGCGGCGGCGCGGCGCAGGTCAAGTCAGGAGGGAGCGCACGGGCTGGGCCAGCTCACGCAGCGTGGAGGAGCTGAATCCAGCTGCATGAGGGTCGGCAGCAACACTCGCGAGGGGCAGTCGCGATGAGGAGAGGGGGAAGGGGGTAAACGAGACGAAAGAGAGGGCAGCGAGGAAAGGGAGAAGCAGCGCGACGGTGACGAGCCGAGGCATCAAGCGAAGCGCAGCAGGAGCGCGGCGACGGCAGCCAACCAGGAGGAGCTTGGCAGCGTGAGGCACCCAGGCCGGCCAGGGGGCACCGGGGGCCCGGACCAGGGGGAACAACGAGGAAGACAGGGAGAAGCCAAGCGAGGAAAAGTAAGGCGGTAGTGGGGCCCGAGGCAGAGAGGGACAGTAGGAGCAGCGCGGGCCCATCCCCACGGGGGAGGGACCAGACCCCGGCTGCCTCCCCAGGAGCGGGAGGCGGCACGGGCGGGGGACCGCCGCCGCGCGGAGCGGTTAGGGCTGGAGGCGGCCTGGGCGGGAGAGATCCCGAAGGTGGCGCAGGCAGCGTGGCTGGCCAGGCCGAGGGCAGGAGATGCAAGCGGCCACAGCAAGCCAGACAAGGGCGGACGGGCAGAGGTCGGGGCGACAGCAGCCCCGAAGGGCTGGTCGAAGCGCGAGAGGGGGGAAGGCGGCGGAAGTCGGTCCCACCGGGAGGGACCAGCGCGCCCCAACCGAGGTCAGAGCGACGAGGGAGGGCGATCAAGGGCGGGCGACCAGCGGCTAAGTGACACGCACACACACACACACACACACACACACACACACACACACACACACACACGCACACGCACACGCACACGCACACGCACACGCACACGCACACGCACACGCGCACGCGCACACACACACACACACACACACACACACACTGTGCGTCGGCGGCTGGGCAGAAGGTGACTGTTCCAGCAGACTGGCAACAAGGGACACGTTTTATGCAAATTAAGGCCGCAACGCACGGAGAAGGAGGAGGAGGAGGAGGAGCCCCAGCGCGACTGGGGGAGAGGAAGCCGGGCCACTCAGAGCTGCCGACTGCGGCGGGGGGAGCGCCGAGGTGGGAGACCAGCGCTGGTACTGAGTTGCACTGAGCTGCTCTGAGCTGAAGCCGGGGGGAGGCAGCACTGTGCTGCAACAGGTGATGGAGAAATACAATGTAGCGGACCCCGACCCGACCCAAGGCGCCACCAAAGATGGGCCGAGCGCAGAGACTAGGAGAGGCCCAGGCAGGGGAGCGCCAGGGGGGAGAAGCCAGCGCGCTGAGCTGCACTGAGTTGCACTGTGCTGAGCTGGGCAGCAGCACAGAGCGGCATAGCAGAAGCTTGGGAAACGCGCGGCCCAGCTGTCTGAGCGGCAAAAGAGAGGCACCGAGAGCGCCAGCACGGCCCGGCGGACCGCCAGGTGCGGCCCAGAGGGCAGCGGACGCACCGAGACCGAGGGGCAGAGCGAAGCGAAGCGCCGAGACCTGCGGGCCTGCGAAGCGCATCGGCGAGGAAAGGGCCGGGGCGGCACCGCCGGAGAGCGGACGGAGCGGGGCGGCGGACGAGCCGAAGAAGCGGGCGGCCAGGACCTCGACCCGCGCCGACGGGGGGAACCCCGACGTCGGCTACGGAGGGAAGCGCCGAGACCAGGCGAGGAGGGGCTGCCCGGGGGCGCAGCAGCACCGAGGGTACGGGGAGGGGCCCTGCCAAGAGAGAGCGCCGAGGCAGGATGCCAACCAGCGGCGGGCAGGCGAGCCGCGCCCAATGAAGGACGGCAAGCCAACGCGAGCGGATGAAGCCAGGGGCGGAGCTACCTGAGTACCCGAACGCGGCGAAATGACAAAGCAGCGACCACGGCCAGACACCGGTAGCTGGTGCTGGGCGCGCCGGCCGGAAGTGCCAAAGAAGCGTCAGTACCAGACACCCGTAGCCGGCGCTGGGGGCGCGGCTAGAGGGCCAGGCTGAGAAGAGGGGCACAGGCACCAAAGTGACCGGTGCCCCAGCCGACCAAGCCGGCAAGGTCGAGGGGTGCCCAAGGCAGGGCCCGGACAAAATTTACAGAAAGCCGGCGCCCCGAGAGGTAGGAAGCGGCGGCGGCGCAGAGCATCCCAAGGCAAGCGTGAGAGGCGGCGTACAGTCACGAGCAGGCGGCAAGACCAGTCAGCAGTGACGGGGCCAACTTGGGGAAGGCGGCCAGCAGGGAGCGGGCCGCACGCCAGCGCACAGGCGCGGGCGGGCACACGCCTGTGCGCGAAAGGAGGGCAAGCCCCGAGCAGGGGGGCGCACGGAGGGCGTGCTGAATCCTGAGGGGCGATCCGAAATCGATGTCCTCAGAGTCACAAAGGGGGAGACCAAGTGGACCAGCACTACTGGGGCTCGCACTAGGGCCATGGGAGACGCCTTCAGAAGACGAAACAATTGAAGTCTGGAAGAGGGCCTCGAGAGGCCCAGCGTTGGGGTCAGCGTCCCTGGGGCGGTCTCCAGGTCCTCCTGAGAGGGCGAGCCGTCTCGGTCGCCAGGGCCAACCGATGGGGGAATCAACGGGCTTCTGCGGGCGAGGGAGCTGTGTTGGAGGCCAGTTCATCAGAGAGACCACAGTCTCAGTTTCGGCTCCTGCACATGATGTCTCCTGCCGGTCCTTCAGAAGACACACGAACGTCTGGCGCTGGTGATGGCCTGGCCTCAGTACCCATTGAAGATGATTGTCGGCCACGTCAATCGGGGGAGCCGCCCCTCCTGCCGCCTGAGGCGAGCTCTGCCCTGGAGGGGTCTCGTCACACTGGGGGCTGCTCTGGCGATGCTGTCGTGACTGAGCTGCCCCGTCGTTCTGTCCGTCCCTCGACAGATATGGTGAGCCGACGCACTTACACAGCATGGGAGGGCCGTCGATGGGGTTGAGGTTGTCGCGGATCTCTAGGTCTGAGGACATGCCTGGGGGCTCGGTGGGTACAGGGGGGATACCTCGCAGTCAATGCTGTGGTCTGTCGACCTTTAGGTCTGCCTGTGTGCGGGGCCCTGATGCACGTCAACATTGGGGGACTGCAGGCTCTCCGGCAGCTGCTGGCTGGGGTACCGCTATGTCCCCGGGCTGGATCAGGACGCTGAGCCCCGGAGATTGATAGGGAGCCCCGTCAACCAGGAAGGGGGAAGCAGTGACGATGTCGGGGGAAAGCCGGTCTGTCCCCACAGCCCTATCACGAGTGGTAGCTCCCGAGCTGGCACTCAGTGGGGGCCTTGGGGAACGCAGACGCGAACTTTCGGCACATTCCTCAATAGTTCCCAGGGTCCTGGCGGGGGGGGGTTCACGTCCAGGGAGGCCCCGTCGGGGTCCATGGCTAGGCCGCCGACCAGCAGGGGGGGCCGAGCGGCGGCCGCGGGGGCCGTGCGGCGCGGGCGTGGGGACGGGGCCGCTTGCGTCGGGCACCCCCTCGAGTGCGGGAGAACCCGAGGGGGAGCCCGCTCGTGGCTTGAGCCAGGCTACGGCCAGACACACACACACACACAGAGACAGACACAGACACACACAGACAGACACACACAGACACACACACACACATACATACACACACACACACACGCACGCACGCACGCACGCACGCACGCACGCACGCACGCACGCACGCACGCACACACGCACGCACGCACGCACACACACACACACACACACACACACACATACAGCACAGACACACACACACACATGCACACCTTTTTCCGTCGGCAGCGAGGCGGGACAATCCGCTCAAGCGTGGCAGCGATGCAGGGGCACTACAAAGCGAATTGACCGGCATGCAGGAGGAGGGAAAGGGACGTGCAGGGCGGCCGCGGGGACGGAGAAGAGGGCGAGCACTCAGAGGCGGATGAGCAGCCGGAGCGCCAGCCAGGCAGACCGCATCAGCAGGCGCGATGCGCCGGGTAAGGAGAAACATACCTTGCACGCATCTACACACACAAACACACCGTAGCTTTCCCTCACGCAGCTCGGGGCGGGCTCGCATGCCCGTGGCGAAAGGCAACCCTTGGAACAGAACAACTCACAGAACAACTTACAGAACTCGGCGGTTAAACGGTTAAACGTGTCGATTGCAAAGTCGTGCCCCTCCAGCGTTCCGTCCCGCCCCCCGCCACGCAGTGGATAGCTGAGACAAGGAACGGTTCGGGTTCGGAAGGGGTTCGCTGTTCCTTCGGTATTTCCTTTTGTTGTTTCTCTAGCGTTCCTCGTGCACACAGGCCTTGCTGTTGCCAAAGGGGCGCCGTTCCTTATTTCTGCATTCCTGATGGTTGTATATTGACTGTATTGGGCTCGCCCCCCTCGACTTGGGAAGCGAGCAGGCGGACCGCCCTGCACCCGCAGGACCAGGGGGGCTCGTGCTCCAGCATCCGCCAGATCGTCAAGTACGTTGAGGCCAGGTAGCGGGCAGGGTGGCAGGGGAAACGAAGGAGAGGGTGGGGTACGTATGCATCTGTATCGAAGACGCCTACGGCGAATCACCGCCGCCCCCTGCCTGTTTGGAAGCGCCGAATTATCTGGCCGAAGGAAAGTTGGGCTAGAGCTATCGGACCATGTGTTCCCCCAGCTGTCGTTGAAACCTTTCGGAGAACACGTGAGGACGAGGAGAATGAGGAGAAGATGGAAAAGGGAGTAGGATGAGAAGGAGGAGGAGGATGAGGAGGAGAATAAGGAGGAGGACGCCTCTTGGAAGCCTTTTGAGGCAATATTGGGGTCTCCTGGGAGCTTTCTGGGGACATCTCAGAGGCCCCTTGGGGGCCTCCTTGGGCCTCTTTGGGGCCTTTTGGGCTTCTTGGGGGCTTCGTTCGCCGTCTACGGGCTTCCTGGCCCATCTGACGCCGTCGGAAGCCGTCTTGGGGGGCACCTCTGAACCAACTTGGGGCCCTCTTGGAGTGCTCCAGGACAGTCTTGGAGGCCATCTTGGGCGTCTTGGAGGCCTCTTGGGCTGGCTTGGGGCCCTCTTGAGGCCGTCTTGGGAACCTCTGGGGCCATTCTGGGGCCATCTTGGAGGCCTCCTGGGCGATCTTGAGGCGATCTTTGCAGGCTCTTGGGCCGTCTCCGGCCGTCGGAAAGCCGAAAAGAAACAAATGTTAACATCAATATAAAAAATGATGCCGGAGAGAAACCCCAATCATATTGTTTTAATATTCCATGTGCTCCCTTATGGGGCTATAGGGCTATCGGGCTATAGGGCTATAGGGCTATCGGGCTATAGGGCTATAGGGCTATAGGACTGTGACCTATAGGGCCATAGGGCTATAGGGCTATGGGGCTATAGAGCTGGGATATGAGGCTACTAGGGCTGTAGGGATATAAGGCTATAGGGCTACAGGGCTGTAGGGCTATACGGCTATAGGGCTGTAGGACTATAGGGCTACAGGGCTACTGGGTTATTGGGCTATTGGGCACCCCCGGGCACCCAGGCACCCCCGGGCCCCCGGGCACCCGGGCCAGGCCACCGAAATCGGCCACGCACCTCACCGGCCACCCGGGCACCGCCGGGCACCGCCGGGCACCCGGGCACCCGGGCACCCGGGCCCGGCCACCGAAATCGGCGACGCACCTCACCTAATCTTTTGATCCGCTAGGACACCCACAGAGGCAAGCTCTGATTGGGGAATGAAGCAGAGAACCAAAAAATCATGATACCGGAGAAAAAAACCAATCAGATGTTTTGAATCTTCCCATTGCTCCCTTATATGGCTATCTATCGGCCTATAGGGCTATAGGGCTATCGGGCTATAGGGCAATAGGGCTATAGGACTGTGCCCTATAGGGCCATAGGGCTATAGGGCTATGGGGCTATAGAGCTATATGGGGCTATAGGGATATAAGGCTATTAGGGCTATAGGGATATAAGGCTATAGGGCTACAGGGCTATAGGGCTATACGGCTATAGGGCTACAGGGCTATAGGGCTACTGGGCTATTGGGCTATTGGGCTATTGGGCACCCCCGGGCACCCCCAGGCACCCGGGCACCCGGGCACCCGGGCCCGGCCACCGAAATCGGCCACGCACCTCACCGGCCACCCGGGCACCCGGTCACCCCCGGGCACCCGGGCACCCGGGCACCCGGGCCCGGCCACCAAAGTCGGCGACGCACCTCACCTAACCCTTTAATCCGCTAGGACCCCTACGGAGGCAAGCTCTGATTGGGGAACCATAGCACCCCGCAGATGCGGATAAGAGTGAGGGCGCGGTGGGGACATCGGCAGTCTGCGAGACTTTGGAGAAGCCCGCCGCAGGCGCCAACGTTTCACAAATTATACAACGAGTCCGCCGCAGGCCCCGATTTTTCCGTTAAACCAATGTGGGTAGGTCGCGGGTGGGTCGCAAATGGGTCGCGGGTGGGTCGCGGCTGGGTCGCAAGTGGGTCGCGGGTGGGTCGGCGACGCGGCGACGATGACCAAGACGAACACGACAACGACGACAAGGTCCCGTGTAGTCCTTCATCCTCGACCCTGAACGTCGGAATATTGACGGGCCCCGCCCCGACTTCACGTATAAATACGATACCGGAGAAAAACCCCAATCAGATTTTTGTTAGGGCTATACGGCTATCGGGCTAAAGGGCTATCGGGCTACAGGGCTATAGGACTATGATCTATAGGGCCATAGGGCTATAGGGCTATGGGGCTATAGAGCTATATGGGCTATGGGGCTATAGGGCTATAGGGATATAAGGCTAGTAGGGCTAAAGGGATATAAGGCTATAGGACTACAGCGTTATAGGGCTATACGGCTATAGGGCTAGTGGGCTATTGGGCTATTGGGCACCCCCGGGCACCCGGGCACCCCCCGGGCACCCAGGCACCCCCGGGCACCCCCGGGCACCCGGGCACCCGGGCCCGGCCACCGAAATCGGCCACCCAGGCACCCCCGAGCACCCGGGCACCCGGCCCCGGCCACCGAAATCCCGCCCACCTCACCTCAGCTTTATATCCGCTAAGACCCCTACAGAAGCAAGCTCTGATTGGGGAATTTTTCGCGCTTGACGGGCCCCGCCCCGACTTCACGTATAAATATTTTTCGCGTTGCTTCGCGTGCCTTCCGGGTTTTCGGTCGTCGTCGTCGTCCCCGTCGCAGACGTCGTCCTCGTCGTCGATTTCGTCGTCGTCATGTTCGAAGTCATCATGATCGACATCGTGGTCGTCGTCGCCGTCGTCGTCGTCGTCGACGTCGTCGTCGTCGTCGCCGTCGTCATCGTCGCCGTCGTCGCCGTCGTCGTCCTCGTAGTCGTCGTCGTCATGCTCGAAGTCGTCGTGTCGACGTCGCCGTCGTCGCCGTCGTCGTCGCCGTCGTCGCCGTCGTCGTCATCGTCGACGTCGTCGTCGTCGTCGCCGTCGTCATCGTCGCCGTCGTCGCCGTCGTCGTCCTCGTAGTCGTCGTCGTCATGCTCGAAGTCGTCGTGTCGACGTCGCCGTCGTCGCCGTCGTCGTCGCCGTCGTCGCCGTCGTCGTCATCGTCGACGTCGTCGTCGTCGTCGCCGTCGTCATCGTCGCCGTCGTCGCCGTCGTCGTCCTCGTAGTCGTCGTCGTCATGCTCGAAGTCGTCGTGTCGACGTCGCCGTCGTCGCCGTCGTCGTCGCCGTCGTCGTCGCTCGTCGTCGACGTCGTCGTCGCCACCGTCGTCGTCGTCGTCGTCGTAGTCGCCGCCGTCGTCGTCATCTTCGCCGTCGTCGCCGTCGTCGTCGTTGTCGTCGTCGTGCTCGTCGTCGCCGTCGACGCCATCGTCGTCGCCATCGTCGTCGCCGTCGTCTTCGTCGTCACCAACGTGGTCGCCATCGTCGTCGCCGTCGTCGTCGTTGTTGTCGTCGTCGTGGTCGTCGTCGTTGCCGTCGTCGTCGTCGCCGTCGTCGTCGCCGTGCTTGTCGTCACCGTCGTAGTCGTCGCCGACGTAGTCGTAGACGTCGCCGTAGACGTCGCCGTCATGCTCCTCGTCGTAGTCAACTTCGTCGTCGTCGCCGTCGTCGTCGACGTCGTCGTCGCCGTCGCCGTCGTCATCGTCGCCGTTGTCGTCGTAGTCAACTTCGTCGTCGTCGCCGTCGCCGTTACCGTTGAAAGGCATCGTCGTCGTTGCCGTCGTCGTCGTTGTCGTTGTCGTCGTTGTCGCCGTCGTCGTCGTCGTCGTTGTCGTCGTCGTCGTGCTCGTCGTCGCCGTCGCCGTCGTTGTGCTCGTAGTCGTCGTCATCGTCGTCGTCGTCGCTGTCGTCGTCGTGCTCGTCGTCGTCACCATCGTTTTCGTCGTCGTCGTCGTGTTCTTGCCGTCGTCGCAGTCGTCGTCGTGCTCGTCGTCGTCGCCGTCGTCGTCGTCGTTGGCATCGTCGCCGTCGTCGTCGGCTTTGTCGCCGCCGTCGTTGTCGTCACCGTCGCCGTCGTCGTTGTCGTTGTCGTCGTCGTGCTCGTCGTCGTCGTCGTCACCGTCGCCGTCGTCGTTGTCGTTGTCGTCGTCGTGCTCGTCGTCGTCGTCGCCGTCGTCGTCGTCGTTGTCGTCGTCGCCGTCGTCGTCGTCGTCGCCGTCGTCGTCGTCGCCGTGGCCGTCGTCGTCGTCGTCGCCACCGTCGTCGTCGTCGCCGAGTGCCATTCATCGTCGCGGGAGACTGGAATGCACCCCCACACGAATTGGAGACCATGGGCCTCCTTGATATGCTGTCAGCCGCCATCGTCACGCCAGCACGTTGTGAGGGAACGTGTCGCAGTGCGAAAGGCCACTACAGCATGCTTGACTACTGGATGGTCTCGGCGGATCTGGTGAAGGCGTGCGAGAGGCCGCGCTTGGTGGAGAAGTGGCCGCCCAGACCTCATCACCCAGTGCGCTTCGACCTGGCCGCGCAGCCGCGGCGCCACATGCAGATCACCCTGACGGGACCGAAGCGTTTTCCTCGGGCGCACCCTGCGCATGCGGGCTGCCACCCACTGGCGGGGCCACCGCCAGAGCGAGACTATCTTGCTCGAGTACAGGACGATGCTCAACTGGGACTGCCTGCTGATGCGGATGAGGCTCAGCAGCGGCTGGACGGCCTCTACACTGGCATGCTGCAAGATGTGGAGACGGACCTCTGCCACATCTATCAAGTTGATGAGCCTCATCATCACTGTGGGCGAGCTGCTGGGCCAGCTGATGTCCGCCGACCTGTCGGAGGCCCTGCCCGAGGCGGACATCCTGCTGCAGGGTCTGAGCCTCGACATCTGCGCGCTGTCGCAATTGCGGTGAAGGACCTTCTCACGCATGAGCATCAGACGCGTCCAGCCGAGACAAGATGGGCGCGGGTCGGCCGAGTTCTCCGGCCTGGACATCGTCAAGATGTTCACATTACGGAGGGTCACACGCTGCTCGACTGGGCCTGGATTATCATACACCAGGCATGTTCGCATGGAGGTGTCGCCTACACAGT